AAGTCTTTATAAGTCGTGAATGAAATGAATCTACAGTATCATAAGGTCCTATATTTATTTTCGTGCTGGGCACGTAACATTATTTTTTAGGAGTACACCATCGAATCCTTTTGAATTTATCATTTGAATGCCATACTTAATTCATGTGAAAAATACAAACAAAAGTACTTGATCTTGTTTAAGAAGTTTCCGAAGAAAACACGGAAACAAGCACTTATTATTTCTTAGAATTCATTTTATCAAAACGTCGCGGTTCTAGAGATAGGATAAGATGAAATCATGATGAATGGGTTTTGCCTATTTTGTGCTAAAACAAAGTTAAATAGATAAAACGATATAATCTGTCTGATTCAGTCGAGCAATATCAGAATTTGTAATTTTAAATCAAAACTGTGAGTATAGTTACTGTTATTTGAGCCATGACCCATCATTCGGGCATAAAACGGATTGGTGGTTGTTAACGATGCAGCCGTGACTAATGGCTTAACGTACTTTTCGAAGTACGGAGCTCGAGATAGTAAATATTTTGTCTCCAATCTTATGGCCAGCCCTTGCGAAAGTTGCTTAACTTCCTTATCGTAGATCGAGCCCTTCAACGTACCTATATGAAAATTATATCACTACCATTCCATACTGTACTACTGTACCATTATTTCAATTAAAATCTTTTATATCTATATAAATGCAATATATATAAAATTCTCGTGTCACAATTTTCGTTCCCGTACTCCCCCGAAACGGCTTGACCTATCTCATGAAATTTTGTTAGCATATTGAGTAGGTCTGACAACCGGCCAACATCTATTTTGATGATGTTTACACTAGAAATTACCTAAAAATATTTTATATGGTAAAACAACGTTTACCGGGTCAGCTCGTAGGTATATATAAAAAAAAACAATTAAACATTGAAAAAGGAACTTATAAATGATAGCTGATCGAAAGCCGATAAGTTTATAGCACATTTAAATTAAGTATATCAACGTTTTTATGTCATGCAAGATATCATTTTAAAATGCATTGTAATGTTAAATTTATTGAATAATAAAATTAGGATGTGTTCTAGGATATTGCATGCTGAAGTATCAGTAAAGGCGAGTTCACACTTATTACATTTTTCACCGCATCAGATACTGCCTCCGTGACATTGACATCTATTACGACTGCTGTGCGTGGCTGTGTTTGATACTTTGCCGCGTGCGATGAATGTCAATATTATGGTATTTAAGAATACTTTGATTATATTATCACAATTTCATTGTTTGTTTCTTCGATTTTAATATTAATATCATTCTGCGACAATTTATACTTTAATTTTAAATCGAGAAAATATTTTCCATCAAATTATTGTTGAAAATGGTAAATGGCGGATTTAAAATATTATTTGTGCCAATGATGAGTGAACATGCATTTTGGAGTGATTTACTAGGTATTTTTTTAATTTGATTTTGGGTACGGACTTCCAAGCATTTATTTAGTCCCGCAGATAGGTACCGCAGATAAATATATATTATTAAGATAGACTGAATCAAATAAAGCGAAAAACTTTATCATTTAAGCAGACGGAGAAAGAGTTCAATAAACTAGAATATAAATGTTCGTTTATATGTCTTTAGTGTGGTATATTTTTTCTTAATATTGTTCAATTAGAAATTGGTATTACACTAAAACTTTTCTATAAGAATCAATACTACAAGAAAACAATACACACATTTGGAAAAAAATTGGTACTATAGATATAGATAATGCCGTGGTTCAAAAACGCAACTCAGTATTCGTTAGAGCTTACAATTATATGAACTAATAGAATTAAAACTATTACCGCGATACGAATTGCCAAAAAAATTAAATGAGTTTGAATTTTTTTTTTAAACTGCAGATCATAGAATTTAAAACAAGGTAGGCCATAGTACGTGTACAAAAAAAAAACATCGGAAAGCGTTCAATATTATTTTTTGTATGGAATCAAAGCTTTATTCTTCATTCTACAATATTAATTTATAATGACATTGTTATTTGTCCTTATGGGTAGGTAAAAATAATCACAATACACACTGTCCTTAGTGCAATATTATGAGGGCTCTTTAATTAGAGCGAGTGAGCAATGAGTTCATGGATCCGCAAGATAATTTTAATGCCACCGGAAGTGTCGTTAAGGTTTTCTTTAATCCTACCCCGATTTAGGATTAAGTCTTTCGAAAAAAAAGAGTTTTATTATTATTTTAGCTGTAATTAATTTTGTAATTGGTAATTGCTTTATATTATTAATTTTATGATTAATCGTGATAATTATCAATTGCGTTTAATTCGTAACCAGTGGATTTGCACGTTATTCATAAATACAGATCCCTCATGTTTTTGAAAATATTCTATCTCATAATATTCATTAGGGATAATGTAGGATTCTAATGGTAAAAGATTTTTCTAATCAGTCCAGTAGTTTCCTAAAAAATGCAAAAAAATAAACAATATATTTTTCTGTGACATTTATATTGTTGCTAGTGTCTGAATAAATGAATTTGAATCTTATCTTTCTTATTTACAATATTAGCATAGATAGATAAAAATTTGAGTATGACACAAATATTAAAAAAAGTCCTTATAAAAATTATAAGGGTAGTGATTCTTATTGCTGTAATTTTAATTAATCTATCCATTCTTCGTTATCAGAGATGCGCCGAATATTCGTTTGATATTCGATGTATTTGACATCTTTTTCACTGTTCGGTTAAGCTTACACCGAATATTATTCGGTTATTCGGTGAAACCACTATTCGGTTCGTTCGATATTAACTAGATTTTGATTTTCTTTGTTCATAAAAATATTAAGTTAATATTGCGCAAAATGAGTGGGAATATTTTTTGTTGTCTTTTAAGTATATGAGTATATACTAGCGAATATTATTTAATTTTATAGTGGTATAACAAAGTATTGTAAATTTTAAGCCTCTAATTATGAAATTCCATGTGTTCAGTGTTTAGATTTAAAGCCTTATTAATGTAATTAACATGATTTTTTGCTTATTAAAGGCCTCGTTCGAAATTTTGCTAACAACTAATTTAATTATAATTTACTACCATTTCTATAAAATGCTTGAATTTTTATTAACGAAATGGATTCGACAGAACTTATTAAAATTAGTATTATTGTTAAGTTAATATTATTGAAGCTGTAATATTTCGAGTCAATGTTTCTGGTATATTGTTGAAACCTGAAATGTTTAATTTATTTCTTTTTTTATATTTAATTAACCATATATTACACTTAAAATATTTTAGAATACTTATATTTCAAATATTTTGTAGTCATTAGATAACTGCAAAATGTCTGAAATACTTAAAATTTGCAGAAACATAAAATCATATAAACTGTCATCATCGTAATAAAACCATATCTTTATTTGACTCTTAAAATAATATTTTTCGGCTCTATTTATAGACAAGCAGTTTGTGTACTAGATTATCTAAACAGTGGATTTAGGCCTCTACTATAAAGAAATAAATGCTTTAATTGTTAAAAATTAATATGTGAAACAATTTCTATTATTTAAAAAAAATTAAACATACAACTTTGTTAATTAATAAACTGAAATCAAATTCTTTGAATTGTTTATTCAAATAAGTTCTCTAGAGTCTCTTGATTCTATTGAAAGAACTTTACTCGTAGCCGATAGCTATGAGAACAATTAATATATTAGTATCTAAACATAGTGTAAAATAAGAATCGCTTCCCGCTGTCTCTACGTTGAGATCTTTTAATATGCATAATGGAATTTAATGCAATTTTCATCAATATACTATAGAGATTCAATAGGAATGATGACCTTTATAATACTTCTTCTATTAAAAAAATCACTCTAGACTACTAGTGGAGCCACCTGAAGTACTTGACAATTCAAACCTTTATCTAAGTTGTTAAAAAAAATGATTTCTTAAATTTCGACCATTATTATACTAACACTAAATAGTAGCTGCATAAAGATGGTAAATTGGCGATAAAATATTATTACTGTTATTAAAAGGTATTTCCAGTCGTAATTTAATGAATGTGAGATGTGAAAATTTATCAAAAGTAGATACCAATCTTCTTTAATATACTCTATGTATATAACAAGTTCTAAAATCATCTTAAAATAGTAAAATTTTGCCGATATGTTTTAATTTCTTTGCAAAATGTAGACCAACTTTGATGAAATTTTTTCTTTTGAAATTAATATGTTGTTCTTATAAAAAAATCACGAGGTTTAGATCTGTATGTATTTAAGTTCATATTTCGCTTTTAATGAAATTTCGTTAAAATAGTGATATTGAAATAGCAAGGCGGTAAAGAAAATCAGTAAACTTCATTAGAAGTCGGGGCAGAAATTGTTGGTTTTAAATGATTAATTACGTACTCTGTTTTTCTAAAATATGAGTTAGTACTACGTCCGTTTAACACCTTACTAGATAGTAAATTACCTGTAAGTTGTTTGTTCGTAATTTACTTTAAGATAGATAAACTACCAAGTAACTTAAACTGATTCATCTCAATTGTGCATTGTTTTATTTTATTGTACGGAGCTGATTATTACTTTAGTTTAAGGAAGGTTGATAATTCAATATTGAAGTTGTGGTTTTACGACGAAAATAAAACTCTTATTTAGATAGTTAAGGAAAAAAACAATATTACATTAAATATTTATTACTTAGTTTATCTTATTAATGGTTGAATATTTTACATTAAACATCACAGATTCTTATGATCTGTTTCGGATGAAAAAAAATTTAGTTTGCATCTTCTATTGTAAAGAGCGTTCAACAATATGTTTGTGATTTTCTGTCAAGAAAAGAACAAAAAGAATCAAAGGTGAGTGACAGGCGTGCGCCATTGATTTTCAAAGGAAACGCTTTTGTATTCGGTTTTCAGTATAGTTTATAAGCTACCACTTTTCATGAATAAATATAAAATACTTAACTAAAAAAAAAACAAATGATGTAGTAATTAAAAACGAATAACTTACCCATTTTGCGAATAAATATTTCACACTGTCACACTATTATTCAAAAAATTGTCCGTTGAGATCACGAAATGAGATATATCGCGGACCTATTACCGTCTCATCGTTACCCTGTGCACTGAAGGAGCGCGGGCGCACAGTATGTGCGAGCCTCAAGGATTCCGCGTGCTGCCTACAAAGGCTTATGTGCAAATGCCGCTGAGCTACCGGCATCCAAAGAGGACTTCTATTGATAACGATAAGAACGATCGCTCATCTCGCGATATCTAGACGGTGACCACCATCCATCTCAGTGTGACTTCTAGGTGGCTCCAGGCTTATGTAACTGTTATATAATGTCCGTGAACCTTTGCTGATTTCTGTCGCCATTGACAGATATAGGACTGTTTTGAAAATGTTCTATTCGATAGTTTTAAAACGCTTTGTATGGCCATGATTTCTTTTATCTAGAAATTTAGTGAATTGTTTATTAGTTTGCTAGTGAGCAATTTATTTTTTATTATGTACTAATATTATAAAGAGGTAATATTTTATTGGTGTTTTTGTTTGCATTTAATAGACACAGAAACTATTGGACCGATTTTATATATTCTTTCACCTATGGCAAGCTACATTATACACGAGTGACATATGCTATAACTTATGCGGGCGAAGTCGCAGGAAAACAACTGGTTAATATAATCATTGTATACATTCTAAAATTAATTTCACTTATCAAAACATCACAAAAGACGGTACAAATATAATTAAGTTTCAATTATATATAATTATATAATTGAAATAATTTATTGTGTTTTACATCCTTATAAAAATGCTTATAGAAAAATATCTAAACAGAATGTTTTACTTAAGCAGATTGTTATTTTCAGTTGAACAGCAGAGGCCCTGAGGGACCAACGGGACTCAGCAAAATGAACCACTCGATAAGGCGATTTGTCAGCTTGATTCTTAAATTAAAAAGAGCTCTTTAATAATATTTGTCTTTTGTGTTTCTGTAGTTATTTCTTAATATACGTTATTAGCTTTTGTAAAGAACACACTTAATATTTTTGTAGGGAATTGACACAAAATTATAGACTTTTTTTCACTTTTGTGTGACTACGTAGGTTAAGATTCCATTACCATTAAAATGATTTCCACGAGACATTGCTCTCAGTTAGACCTTCATGTTACTTATTGCCTTAAATAGTATAAGGCCTACATAGAGGTCAATACAAAATAGTTTTAATCAACTTTGACGACTTATACGGGATGACATGCAACTGAGTTCCAGGTTATTATGAAGAATGTCTCTTTTACTATTGATTAGCTATTATTATATGCTAGCTGGCTTTCTATAAAAAAAGGAAAAGTATAGCTTTTATTAATTCCTTTTTTTATTTTTACTAATATGATAACTCAAAAAATGCCGAATCGGTCCAGCATTCAGCGTTTCATTGTTATTTATATTAATTATCATTTAGTTTCTATTAATCGAGATTTTGGAGACAAATGTTTATGTAGAGTGCATGTGTTTTTTTTCTGGTTGGAAAAAATTGATTGGATTCAATAGTTAGTTTCTGAGTAAAAGTTTGCTTTGATATTTTGTAAATAAATTTTGCACGGCATTAACGTAGAGCATAACGCTGTCATAGCTTAGAAGTAAATAAATAATATCTTTTATTGTCATTTTTATTAGGTTTATTCAATTCAATCAAATTACAATGACAGCGACAAAGGTTATATTAGATTGAACCGTAATATTAACAGGTTAGATTTTTCAGCGCTATTTTTGATTAAAAAACCTTCACATTTATTTATTCACTGTATTTAAAAGAATATACGAGTAAACTAACTATTTTAATAAAAATAAACGTTACCAAAATGTTGCTTATAACACCGACAAAGACACGCATCACCGACAAAGACATATATTAGCACAAATATTTATTTTCCAAATTTAAGCTCTGAAAGTTGGAGATAACAGAGTGGTTCATTTTCTTGGGTTCGAATCCTGGTCAGGTTAAAGTAGAAAAAATTGCTTTTCTGTATGTTTCAGATTCTCATAATACAAGTACTTAAAACTATTACATTCTGGATCTGTGTATGTGTTGTCGTTGTTTAATATTGATTTTTATTTATTATCATTTATTCTAGTATTATTCATTATATACTCCGCATGATTTTGTATTAAACAAATAAACCTCTTGTATTACTCTGTGTTATTATGAAAATCGCATTGAAATCCGTTGTTCAGTTTAAAACATCTCAGCGAATAGACATCGGGAAGCGACTTTTTTAAATATTGTATATGGATAGAACTTGGACATCATTACAAGATTAATATGGAATTTAGCTGCGATGGTTGAGTTAGCTGCAAGTTAGCCATGGACATTAAACGAGATACGGGCGTCATTTATTTGTTGATACCGGATCTCATTTATGAGAGAGGTGATATCCAACAAAAGCCTGGTTAAAAATATAATTACAGCTTATTGTCTAATGTAAATTAGCATGTATTGTTAAGAAATGTTATAATCTACCTATCTTTGTAAGTGTATGTATATTTCATTTATATTTCAAATAATTCGTTGAAATACTATATAACGATCAACACTTCTTTCTGGCACTTTTCCTTAAATATTTTGTATTCAAAATTTATCCGCTACATCCTTAAAGGTATCCTTAAATACATTAACGGAATACAAAAAACCTCAAAACTTCGAAGAAACTGTCACATATATTTGTTGTGATTTAAAAGGTTATGATGTGACTTAAAAACTTGATTTATTATGTTTGAAGATACCGTTAAGGTTCAAATGAGATAGTAAGCTTCTTCTTTTAACATTAAACAAAGTTTCGTTTTTTATTTATGTCAAATTTTAAGACTTTTAATACAAAGTTCATCAATTGAAATTGAACTTTTCTTAGCACAGAGCGTGGAGTTGTAAAGAAACAAATTTTCCCTAACATTTCTTCAGTCAAATTTCTTTTATTCATTCGTCGTATTGTGAAATAATTATCCATTTGTTGGAAAAGTACTTGTTTACCTTTTTTTTATTAGGTAATGAACGGACTACGTAACTTGGAGGTCAATCGCTGTAGGAATATCAAACCGTAAGGAAACAAAATGTATTGAAACCTCGACCTGGTTGCTTATTGCGAAACCATACACCATGTTTATGCATATGGATCATATTGATCTATCGCGATTTACATATTAATCGTGGTAATGACTTTGGGACTTACATAATTTACTTTCTAGTAAAATTGAACTTGGAGTTGCATTCTAATATTCTCTAATTAAGCCATCTTTAATGAAAATTACTTAAAAGCTCACCAGCTCCAAGATCAGAACCAGATGGGACTCGAACCCTCAAGCTTTCGCAATCCGAGATACTGCTCTAACTTGTATTTTTCGCTACTATTTTTTAAATTGTTTTAAGCTATTAATGCAAAATTGATCATATATAAAATGTAATGGTTTAATGTTCGAATTATGTGGTAAATGAAAGATGTCACTTCCATTCAAATATATCTATAAAATAAAACAATTTTAGTGATTTAAAAAAAATTAGAAAAATGTATGATATTAACGCCAAATAATGGTTATGAAAATCGGCTCTATACCGGCATATATACGGAGTATTTAAATCACTAATAGATTATTTAAAGTAACGTTTAGAATTAGTTGTTCGTCCAATAAAGTGCCACTTTACTAATTTGGCACATCTGTCTTAGTATCCATTTAAGAGTGCTTTGAAATTAGTTGTGTCAGCGACCTCGTGACGAATTTGTTCAGTGACGCTGTCCAAAATGTATACCACCGAACAAATATCACGTTCTGTATCTTGACCATTACTCGTTTTAATAATAATAAAACCCCGCAACATATTTTAATACGTTTTCCACTGCATATAAAAATATTCTTATGAGGTAGACTGGATTTTTTAAATTCATTTCGTTTTAATCAATGTGAGGAAAGTTGAATGTGGGGTAAATTTTGTTTTTCTTAGTGATAGCTTTATGATATAGTACGACAATATCCAAGTCATGTTTTATTTTATTAATCGATATGTTATCTAACGTACTAAAAAGCTTTGTGTTTTGGTTCTTTCGTTTTTTTTAGATTCTCATAATAAAGGTAAATTAAATTTAGAGTAGTTGTAGTACAAACTACTCTAAATTTAGTTTTAATATTATCATATCTGTAATTAAGTAAGATAACACAAGTAAACGCGCGTTTACGCGATAACTTTTTTACTTAAAGCTGTAACATCAGAATTGTAAAAATTAAATGATGGGCACTTAAATAGCATTTTCATGAATAAGTCGCTTTTGAGCTAACTATTATTTATTTATCATAACTAACTGGTAACTGGTTCCATTTTTTAGGTTTTATTTTATGCTTTTTAGTGATATTTATATTTTTTATATAATAGGGAATAGTCTAACATTAAATATATTTATCAATAAAAATCTTCAACATAATGAGTATTAGAAACAGGCATTTTGTTTATTTGTCGACATATTTTTTTCTAATAATTTTTCCAATTTTATACTCATATTATAAAGGGAAAAGATTTGATTGCTTGTTTGTTTGCATTGAATAGGCTCCGGAACTTTTGAACCGATTTATAAAAGTCTTTCACCTACGGGAATCTACATAACACGCGTTGGATATAGGCTATAATTTATACAGGTGAAGTCGCCGGGAAAATCTAGTTTGATAGATATTGGTTCACAAGCCAAAAATAAACCGATAAACATACGTGCTTCCATAAAAAATATATTCCTTGAACCTTATAATATAGAAAATCCTTCTTTCGGATTTTGAATGAATTCAAAATACGCAATCTTTTGTTTAAAGCTGAAATAAATATTTAAATGATATTTGGTGAAATATATGGTTTTGTTTTATTATAAAAGAAAAACTACTGATTCGATTCCCTATTATATAAAAAAAAATCCTCCGAAGCTCAGTACTTTCGGATGCTATTCGGAGGATAAACTCAGTAGCGGGTCCAGTGACCGATCTTAAAATTTGTTTGATACATCTTATGTTGGTAACACAAGCTATAAGTTACGCAGACGAAGCCGTGGGAAAACAGCACAGCTGAGTTTAAATAGAATATAAATAAATCGTAGTAGAAAGGTTGCGTGAGTTGCATTACTTTAACAAAGTTTAAATCGATCTCCAAGCAGACTTATTTC